AACTGCAAAACTTGTGCATTTCACTCGTTATTATAAAAAAGTTTTCCTAAGTATGATATAGCATTTGCGATCAACAAGACGTTGGTTCTGAATACGACCCTGGCCAATTCTTGGGATTTTCAATATCACGTGCGTAGGGCATGTCAATGTTTACATCCACTCTATCTTGGATTTGAAATTGCTTTATCTATCTCTCATTTGTTTGTTGAACAAGGAACACCCAGTGTATTTCTATTTCCAGCTAGTTTCAAAACACCCCGTACAAGTATTTTCCACTCTGCCACTCTCACTATGAAGAACATGCTACCTACATTTTTGTTAGGTTATGAAAAGAGGTGTGTCGGTATTAAGATGTGAATATTACCTTTGAGAGGAACATCCTTCAGTAACTGGTCCTTCACTCCATACCTCAAACGATAACCCTTGAGTTCCCCGTATGTCTGAGAAGGTCTCGACCATTCCAATTCAATTGTTATTATTGGTTCTCGTTCAATGACCCTAAAAAAACGTAACATTTCGATTCGACTTTCTTATTAGTCAGTGGACTATACTTGAACACTGGTAGTAAACAAATCTAAAGAAATCAACTTTAAACGTTCGGATATAATCCAACGTCCTTCGTGGTATTAGCCAGGGGAGTAGCTGTTTTCTGGTAGGCGTCAGTCCATTCAACCTACTGTGTACGTATATCCGAGACTAGCTTGAATGTTTAGAGGTCATTTCTTTAGATTTATTTCGAATCGATGTTCAGTTGGACCTTTGCTTCGTTGGATGCTCACTTTAAATTTAACGAGGGTCTATTAGGAACACCCCCCGGTGTTCTAACATTAACAGGCGCGCTCCTATCTCCATCTCCTTTTCAAAAGAAATGAAATGCACTTTATTTAACTTACGTACCATATTATATCCTTGATGTATCCAAAATGGTGAATGAATTATTATTATTATTATTACTGACAATTCATATCGGGATGATAATGATTTTTTTACAGGGAGATACTTCAATTCTCATCAATTTTGTCATGATGCTAGTAATATATAGGACGGTCATGACTGTTATATCTCTGTGATGAATCCTAAAGGATAGATTGATGATAATGATAATTGTTTCAATTTTCAAGTGGAATATCTCATCAAAGACTAAAGAAACAAAATAAAATGTATAAATTTACCACAAACTAAAAGTAAATATCAAATATCAATCTCAATCCGCATAAATATAGCTTCAAAACATTCAAAACGGCGACAGCAAGTAATTCCAGCTTTCTGTTAAGTCCATCCAAACTGTAATACCAAAAAATACGTAGGGCACTGGAAGAAAATAAAATTATTCATTGTTGGATGGACACGGAAGGTAAACATGCCGGTGTTCTCTAAAATACCAGAATAGGTGCTCAAAAAACTAAAATATAGAAAAATGGTGCCGGTTGTGACTTAAAAAAATGTGCCATTGCAATGCAACTTGTGCGAGTGAAAAAATATACAATAACATACCTGACTAATATTAGATAAAAATCCATTATTACGTATTCAAAAAACACACTTCAATGTGAAACTTTCACTTCGTTATACGATATCATCTTTGGGCGTCCGAAAATGTTATACAATAGTATATTTGGGTGTCCCAAGATGCTAATGTATAGCAGCACGTGTTCACTACACAATAGCATACTTGTGTGTCCGAAAATGCTATACAATACTACTTTGTATAGCGGTATGTGTTTCGCAATACAATAGCATATTTGGACGCCCGAAAATGTTATTGTATAGCGACACGTCTTTCACTATACAGTAACATCTTTGAGCATCCTAAAATGCTATACAATAGCATATCAAGGTTTCCGAAGATGCTACTGTATGTAGGCACGTGTTTTGCTATACATTTCCTCTTTGGGCGTCCGAAGATGCTATACAATAGCATATTTGGATGTCCCAAGATACTACTGTATATCAGCACGTGTTTCACTATACAATAGCATATTTGGGCGTCCGAAAATGCTACACAATATCACTTTGGGAACCCGAAGATGCTATACAATAGCATATTTGGATGTCCCAAGATGCTACTGTGTATCAGCACGTGTTTCACTATACAATAGCATATTTGGGCGTCCGAAAATGCTACACAATATCACTTTGGGAACCCGAAGATGCTACTGTATGGCGGTATGTGTTTCGCTGTACAATAGCATATTTGGGCGCCAAAAGATGCTATACAATAACACTTTGGGTATCCAAAGATGCTACTGTATGGAGGTATGTGTTTCACTATACAATAGCATATTTGGGCGCCAAAAGTTGCTATTGTAAAGGAGTACGCGTTTCACTATACATTAACATCTTTGGACGGCCGAAAATACTATACAATAGCATATCAGGGCGTCTGAAGATGCTACTATATAGAGGCAAGTGTTTCGCTATACAATAGATTATTTGGCGTCCGATGATGCTATTGTATAACGGTACGTATTTCACTATACATTAACATTATATTTAGGCGGCCGAAAATAGCATATAGAGGCACGTGTTTCACTATACAATAGCATATTTGGACGCCCGACGATGCTATTAAGTAGCATCTTTGGATGTCCCAAGATGCTACTGTATATCAGAACGTATTTCACTATACAATAGCATATTTGGGCGCCCGGAAATGCTACATGGGTGTCCGAAGATGCTACTGTTTGGCCGTGTGTTTCGCTATGCAGTATCATATTTGGGCCCCCGAAGATGCTATTGTATAGAGGCACGTTTTTCGCTCTACAATAGCATATTTGGTCGTCCGAGGGTGTTATTGTAGTGTGTAGTGTTATTGTATTGTAGTACGTGTTTTACCATAAATTATCATGTATACATTAACATGTATAAATACTATACAATATCATATCAGAGCCTCTGAAGATACTACTGTATAGAGGCACGTGTTTCGCTATACAATAACATCTTTGGGCGTCAGAAAATACTATAGCAATATCGTCTTTGGTTGTCCCAAGGTTTCACTATACAATAGCATATTTGGGCTCCCGAAGATGCTATTGTATAAACTCATGTGTTTCGCTATACAATAGTATCTTTGGTCTTCCAAGAGTGTTATTGTATAGTAGCACGTGTTTCACTATACATTAACATCTTTGGGCGGCCGAAAATACTATACAATAGCATATCAGGACCTGTGAAGATGCTACTGTATAGAGGCACGTGTTTCGCTATACAATACCATCTTTGGGCGTCAGAAAATACTATAGCAATGTGTCCCAATGTTTCACTACACAATAGCAAATTTGGACGTCAGAAAATGCTATACAATAACACCTTAGGTGTCCGAAGTTGCTACTGAATAGCGGTATGCGTTTCGTTATACAATAGCATATTTGGGCGCCCGAAGATACTACTGTATATAGGCACGTGTTTCACTATACATTAACATCTTTGGGCGGCCGAAAATACTATACAATAGCATATCAGGACCTGTGAATATGCTACTGTATAGAGGCACGTGTTTCGCTATACAATAACATCTTTGGGCGTCAGAAAATACTGTAGCAATGTGTCCCAATGTTTCAATTGGGCGTCCGAATATGCTATTGTATAGAGGCTATAAAATATAATCTTTGTCGAAACACGTGTCGAGGTTTTGTAAACTTTCAAGTGGAAATCCCCAATCGATATCTGTTTAATCAATTGATAATTTCAGAAATTAATTATTCAGAATCAAGACTACCTCTACAGAGGGTTACACAAAAAATGTATTCGAAAAACTTATCCATTCTTGGTAAGCTGCAATGGTTAAAAAATGTATATAAGTCACACATACCACTGTGGATATGTCAAAAAGGTTCTACGAGAAAATAAATAAACAAACCAAACGCTTAACAGACAAATTCCATTGGTAAATTAATCAAAATAACAGGAATAAAAAAGGGACACAAGGAAACATAATATAATTCGAATTTAAAAAACTATTTTGGACAAAATACTAACGATAACATGCAATACATATTACAATGATTTATAATTAAACAAAGCTTGTTGTTTCAACACTTTTATCATGACAGAAGGTATATAAACATGAAATATGAAAGAGGCCTATAAAATTCAAATACATAAATTGTCTAAAATGTCGATATGTTGTAAACCAAAGTCAAATTGATTGTNCAAAGATAAAAAGAAATACCCCTTCAGTCAATGTGGATAAAGGAAATTATCTGCTATAATTTTAATATAAATAAAGACAAAGATAAAAAGAAATACCCCTTCAGTCAATGTGGATAAAGGAAATTATGCCACTGTTACTCCCTATTCTGTGATTCAGTTCATCATGTAGAATAGTGTATGAAATAAATAAATAAATAAACATTTCACCGTTTCACAATCACCAGCGAAATTTTATGGAGCTCAAAAAATGCCCCCTCTCGTCGTAGCATCGCCTTGTCACGGTAATGCGGGGCACTGCAGTGATTGACCTTCTTTCTCTAGCTACTCGTGGGACTCTTATGAACAGAATAAACCTAAAATGATTTCTACAGAGGAGATGGATGTCGAGATTACGACTCCAACTGACCTCCCTGTAAATTTAGATCAAGAGCGAGAGCTTCTCAAGCTTCTCAAGAGGAAGATTAATCTTCCTCTTGAAGATGACCACTTGGTGATCGAAACGTGTGTCGAGGTGTTGAAATAACGGTTTGGTGTGATATTCATTAATAACAGTGTTCTAAACAGTGCCTCACAAGTACATATTAGCTGTTTTAAAGAAACATGAACAAAAAACGGAGTTTGAGGTTATCAATAACACTCAACGTCCTATCTTGTTGGTTCTGGAAGCTTCTTGAGGTTTAGAGACCTCGAAAAACGTCAAAGAAGCCCCAAAGATGTTGATACCCATAAAGATATAATTTATCTATCCTACAAGTGCCTTGTAATCATGAGATGAATTGACCCATGACATGATGTAGCTGAATTATGAACTATGAAAGCATGATGAGCACCTGATGAAATTTGAGTGTTGGCGAATTTTTTAAATGTCACAATAGGCGATCTTTGATAGCTTTCAACACAAGTTTTCTACCTGATCACTTCAGGTTCGATTGTCATCCATTATGGTTTTGAGTTGATTAGCTGAGAAACCATCAGTTGATGTTAAAGTTAGGTTTTTGAGTTTTGTTTTGATTAGGGCTTAGTCTTAAATATATAGTCTTAAATATATAGTGGAACTCCACCGAAGTCTAGGTCAATTGTAGACGTGGGTTTGCTTGCTCAGAATTATTACCAACTAACTGACATTTTTGGTAGGATAAGAAGCAAATAGTTGAAGTGGTAAATCCCTGATACTTTGGTGCTCAAATTTTTGGAACACGATGAAAACCTTTCAACAATGTTTTTTCAGTGTGGACAAAGGAAATGCTCTGCAATAACTTTAATAAAACCAAGAGAAAAAAATACCCCCTTAGTCAATGTGGACAAAGAAAATTATTTGCAAATAACTTCAATATAAATAGATACCAAGAACAAAAGGAGAACCTCTTTAGTCAATGTGGAAAAAGGAAATGATCTGCAATAACTTTAATATAAATAGATACCAACAGAAAAAGAAATACCTCAATAGTCAATGTGGACAAAGGAAATGATTTGCAATAACTTTAATATAAATAGATACCAAGAGAATAAGGCGAACCTCTTTAGTCAATGTGGAAAAAGGAAATGATCTGCAATAACTTTAGTGTCCAAGAGAAAAAGAAATACCCCTTTAGTCAATGTGGACAAAGGAAATGATTTGCAATAACTTTAATATAAATAGACACCAAGAGAAAAAGGAGAACCTCTTTAGTCAATGTGGACAAAAGAAATTATTTGCTATAATTTTAATATAAATAAAGACAAAAGATAAAAAGAAATACCCCTTCAGTCAATGTGGATAAAGGAAATTATCTGCTATAATTTTAATATAAATATAGACAAAGATAAAAAGAAATACCCCTTCAGTCAATGTGGATAAAGGAAATTATCTGCTATAATTTTAATATAAATAGAGACANGCTCTGCAATAATTTTAAAATAAATAGAGATTAAGATAAAAAGAAATACCCCTTCAGTCAATGTGGATAAAGGAAATTATCTGCAATGATTTTAATATAGAGACCAAAATAGTATATATAAATAACCTAATGTTGGTACGTGCTGCTAGAGACTTCTGATATCAGTGAATTGAACTCGTTTCTGGACAGAAAGTTGTCTTCGAATTTGAACTGTTTCTTCCATCTTCAGAAAACATTTTGCATACGCAATGATCAAGTATAGAAGGTTATTTTTCGTATCAAAAATAATCTAAATATAGCATATTGTTATCAATAAATTAATTATCAGTATGACAATTTACCAAACTGAAATATACCTCAATTTTGGGTTTACAACATATCGAACTCGAAAAATGCGTTTAAATTGGGGGCATCTCATCATTTACTATTTTGTCCAAAACTTTTCTACACTGAGTGAATTTACGTTCGACTTTCACTTCCAGTTATCCCGGCAGCTGATCGAAAATGAACAACAGTTAAAATATATTGTTCATCCATAATTATTTTCACTTAAATAATGACGGTAATAAATGACAACGTACCATCTTCGTGAGTTCGCACCGTGATGGGATAAGAGCTCGGACCATCTCCGACTGAAGTGCCAGCCAAGACCCATATTCTATAAGTCGTCCATCTTTTAAGTTCATCGAGTACTAATTCTGTACCATTAAATTTGACGACAGAAGCCTCGCTGTCTGATCTATCTGATTCCACGAATTGCAGCTTGTAGTAAATAATATTTCCGTTGCTGCGATTGGCCGGCGGGGGATCCCACGTCACTCGGATGGCAGTTGGACTTACCGCCTCGCCAATAACGTTGCTGGGCGGACCATTCGGTACTACGGTGGCGTTTAGCGTTAAAATAAGCCAAGCTTACACTTCGAGTGGATATTAAACATTACACTACTACCTCATCGGTAAAATAAAAAAGTTAAAGGAACGTATAACGAAAGGTGCTCTGATGTCTTGCAATTGGTTGGGGGGTGCTGCTTCCCGATCGTCTTTTCAAGAATTTTCCATATAAATTCATTTCGAAATCAAAATAGCGTCAAAAAATTATCGTATGTCAGTAGATCACCAACACCGATTCTGGGACACCGGCCAATGAGAGCGCGGTATAGTTTGGTGTTGCGCAGTTACGCTTTGCGCAGTTACGCTTTGCGCAGTTACGCTTTGCGCAGTATTGCTTGGTTCGGCGTACTATCTACCATTATCCGGTCAAATTAGACTAAAAAATAAGCATGAAGGTACAGAAATTTACAACAAGCTGCAAATGCGTGTAATTGTTCAAAACATAGTTGAAAATAAGATTTTGAAATTCCGAATGATTGCGATGCCTGGAAAAAAATTTATTCGAGGTCAAAGGTCAAAAATCTCGAAAAAATTGGTTTTTCGCGATTTTCAGGAAAACAGTAAGTTTTATCATAAAATAACTTCA